GACATGGGAAGAAAGGTAATTACCTAGTCAGGGTTTAGAAAACATTCCACATTGAGCACAACGCAAGGTAACTGTGTCTGGGGTTACGCAGTTGGCTAATGACAAGGTCCCACACACAAACAGCAAGATCCTTAATTGATAAGCTTTTTGATGATTGAACTTCTCGTAGATCGGGAAAAATCATTTGCAGAGTGCTAAACTAATAATGATGCCTTAGTTCTCACGATCATCGAAACAATTGCAGTCAATCAGTGCAAACCCCTTTTGTGTCATCAAAAGAGACTTGTTCATCACTCTGGTTCCGTCTTCGTGAGCCCCCCTCATTTACGCTCGTGTTTATTTGCAGCACACTCCACAGCACCATGCAAGTATTGCACCGATCTGCAATAGGTACCAGTTTCGATGCATCTAAATCTTCCAGAACGCAAATCATGCAGTTTAACCATACTGGTATTTCTTTCTAGATTAGCATAAGCTTTTTCGGAAAACTGTGACCACGTCCTGTTAGGGTTCTGTTCTCTCCATTTTCAAATACCTTGCGAAGATTAACAGTTTTTCGAGGGATACCATTTCTTCGATTGTGTTATAAACTGAACTGAACTGATTGTTTCAATTCTTATTACTTTATTTAAAATAGAAACGCAATGAAGATTCTTGTCTTTTAGGTCCTTTGAACCAAACAAACAAAGTAGTCGAAACAGATTCTTCGGTAGTTAGTAATGTGGTTTTATTCAACTTTATCGATTTATAGATTCACAGAATGCTAACTATTGCAGACTGGATATTTTCTTACTGTTTTATGTGTAAGGTTGTTATTTTCTGAGGTCCACTGGTTTTTTGTTCATTCGGTCTCCGTAATCTTACACGCACTGCTGTGTCTCTGGCTAACACGTCTCCAAAGCGCTGCCCTCTATTTTCACTCGTTCTTTCCATTCTGTTCCGTCTGTTATCGCAACCGCATCACCGGTGTCTATTTTTTACGTAGTGCTTGAATGTTTTCTAGTTCTACATGCGGTAGATGATACATCTTTCTCAAAAGTATAATTTACTTGTTACCACCTCTTTCAGTGTGTAGGCCTTGCCAGATTTTAGCGTTAACTGACGAGTATGTGTTTATTTATTTATTCGATACGCATTGTGTATATATACAGGATAAACAATTACAACATGGCTGTTCTAAATCTCGATATTATTACTCCAGGGGAATTGCGATACTGTGATAGCTATGCATGGTAGTCAGATGTGATCAGTAATGCTGTTAAAAGCATCAGAAAATGCTGTCACTGCCGGCTGATATAAGGACATTAGGACTAACAAAGAGCAGCAGGTTAGAGGTGATTGTATCAAGAGAATTGTTGGCATGCATCCATGGATCCACGATCCATTACCATATATCCGAGTAAAACGTCATTAGATATGCAGATTTGAGTTCACCTGATCAACGTTGCAACTTATCCTCTCTCGCTCTCTCAGTCTGTCCGTCCATCTACACGGACTAAATGGATTCAGGACATCACGATCGACAAGCATTCCTTCCCCCCCCCGTGATACAAACAAATTACCCCAAATGGTAGGTTATATAAACCACAGACTGTATGAAAAAATGCATCCCTTGTTATGTTTTATAAAACTACTAAGAAAAAGTTAAATGGGGCGAACCACGCTTGGAATGTGTCAAGAAACGAATAGCATGTTGAGCTTTCTGACAGACAGTTGGTTTAACCTAGCTCAGTTTTGTGAGGGTATTTAAACAATCCGGTTTATTTTGTTTTTCATGCGAGTGCAGAAAAACCAGTCTTGTAATCACGAGAACCACGGACAAATCTGTGATTCCCACTTTCAATGTGAGCACCATTCATGAAATTCGACAAGGGTATAGTGCAAAATTGCACTTGGAAAGAAGAACTTTTTTCGCAACAATAAAATCCGGTTGAAGAAAGCAATAATTACAAAAGTGTGTTGGGAGAGGGCATTGACAGCATTGTGTTGGTCTTCCGAGAATAATTCAAACTGAAATTTGATAGTCACTAGTTACTTTTGAGTATTATCGTGTTAATTTATTTTTATTTGAGCTGATTAGGACGACGTATACAGCAAAATATTCAAATGGTTTGTTCCATGATCAATTCCGAATGATTTGTAGCCACCCTGTTAAGGAATTTGCTTACATTACACGGATATCTTTACAGAGCAAAAAACATAATATTTCATTTCTACCATCAGAAGGCAGTGCACAGTTTTACCGTTTCATTATCACCGAACATACACCATTGCTGTTAAAAGTCAACAACTGTTTTGTTTGGGCTCAGTTACCAGGGTATCCAATCTCTCTCTGCTTATACCTGTGCATGGTTATGTTGAAATCCCACAAGTATAAGCTTGCAGTAAAATTGAAGCGCTTTGTTACCATCCGGTTGAAATCCACATCTGAAGTGGATCATTACTGCAAAGTGAGGGATTCCTTTAGGGGTATAAACCTAATGTGTGTAACCTAATGGGTGTAAACCTAATGAACCCCCGGGCTTGGGTTCTTTTCGTGGCATGTTGATAACCTAAGTAGTTATACCTCCGAATGTTGTGGATGATGACGGTCCACATAGGTTCTTCCACGGATCGTTGGGCTTACGGTTTGAATACTGGACACATGGACTCAAATTACCCGGAATGGACTAAACCATTTCACAGGAAAATCCAAGCCAAATTGTTGGGCACTGATTCAAGTATCCGGTCGAGTTCTGTCCAAATCGAAGCTGCACGCGCCGCTGAATTGAGACAATATCTGAGAACGTGGGTAATCCGGTTGAACAATCTGAAACCTCCTGCTCGAACTGTAGCGTTGTATAACATAGACGAGGTAGATGAAGTAATAATACCCCAGTATAAAGTGAACTAATGCGTGATCGAATCTGCAAAAGGGACATATATATATATATATTTGTGCTTGTGTGTGTGCATAAAACGCGGATAACACTAGCGGGAACATGTGCTACGCGATACTAGAACTGGGATAATATTTTACCAATTATCTTTCTTCCGTTCACTACATCTAAACCTAGTTCAAATATGTTAGTAATAACTGGAAACTGTGGTTCTAGGGTAATGTTTCGTTCTCTAAAAACACATATTTTGTACTGCCTGACCTAGATCGAAAAACCGCTTCCAACTATGTTAATCTTACTTTCTGGATGATGCTATCTTCAGTCAATTTGAGGAAAACACATGTCAGTAAATATGCAAGTTCCGGGAGCAATAAATGGTGGCATTGTATCTCTGTGTTCCACGCAGCGTCATTAGAGTCGTTATCGAAATTACAGTAACTGACAAACTGGAAAACCAATGATATCAAACAATTACTAACTCAGCATTCAAAAGTCTGGAAAGTAGCCAAACAGGTGTGTGGTGAAAACTCCTGAATGAGTAAAATGAAATCTCCATTAAAGGTTTGCTCCATCTGGTATGTAGAAGCGAGTCTATGAAAGTGCGCAGATCAAGTATGCGAACATGTACGATACCGGGAGCGTCAAAAAATTTTGATTGGGAGTCTGGCTGCATAAGGCTGCATAAAGGGACATTGAATCACTGAATCAGGGATCATATATGATCAGTGATGATTCCTCGACGAAAATGTTTAGTGACACTGCGGACTGCATTTTGTATTATGTGCCCTAGCTTCGTCATGGGTTCATTCACAAAGCCCTCTTATTCTGAGCTAAGCGTGAATAAGCCTAAAGCTATTGGTTGAGTAGCACTAAAATAACTGATACTTTCAAGGGATTTCGGTTGCATCTAACATGCATCGGAAAACAAGACCGAATGCATCCAAGAAAAAAATTTGTTCCTCCTTTGTGATTGCATATTTGAAGTATACGGCCTTAGCTTCCAGAGGATTTATCATCCCCTGTGCCATTAGGTCGAAATGACACCCCTGTTTTATAAACTTCTGATAGCTCGCTTAGACGTGGTACAGTGAATCGTTACTGTTTGGAGGCTTCTGTACATGCCGGATGGCGAATTCATTACTCCAGTGGGCCATTTGTCTTACCCATTTTATCATTTTGAGATCCACCGTCCAATTTAGACGATAAATTAAAATTATCTCTGTGATCTAATTGAAACGCTATTCTTTGATCGAGCATATTAGGTTCAAATTCACTTTTGTTGCCAAGGTAACTAAAAATGAACGTAACATGTCAGGTGTTGGGCGCCCTGATAGTAGAACCACCATAAGGGCAAACAGTTAGATAAGTCATTAACTGGCGCATATTGTACAGACAAAACCAATTTTTTTATATAACCACTTCAGGTTTTTTGTGAAAAATATGAAATTGTAAGATAATTACTCGGTTGATGCGTTGTTCATTCAACCACCACAATGCGCTCCACTCACCCATATTTCCATTATCAACTCTGACTTACAAGACTCTTCTATACAGAATGTATGTAGAAATACGTCACTGGCTATTGATCTTTTCCTGTAAACGAATATCTAGGTACTTACTATATATCTGTCTCTTTTCAGACTCACTGTACCTACCAAGCAGAAAGGGAAAGGCAAATACTTTCCGACTGAGTGTAAATATAATATTTGTGTATTTGCCTATTGTTTTTTGTCATACTTGTTATATACATTTGTTCTGCTCGATGCCAGGGAACTTTTATTGAATTTCAAACAGGTGGGCTCATAAGAGTTGTAAAATAGGACCCGAGACAGCAGATCACAGTGAGGGAGCAGAAAGGCAATATCCCTCGACCATATTCAGGTCGATAAACCATTGTCAGATCACCTGGGGGATGAGGGGNTGAGGGGGTGGGGGTGGGGGTGGGGTGGAATAAGATCCAGGGTTACAATCCCACCCAAAAGAGGTGTATAAACCATGCCCAAATCTTCCAGGTTTTGTCTGTGGTCACCGACTCCTTTGGCTATGGAGGTGTATTGGAAATCTTAGGCGTCTGACCTCGTGCAAAGGGAGCACGACCCGATTGATTGGACATTGGCCTTCAATGGAAAGCGGTGTTCGCACTCACACACACACACACACACACACACACACACACTACTCCGCTGCCTTACGGACTTATGGAAAATTGACCTAATTAGTCATGGAAGATTTGGCAGTATTCCAAACCCGAGAAACTAGTGAGCTAATTTTTTCTAAAAGTTATTTGGCAGTAATTTGTTTGGTACAAGACTTGGACTCCGACAAGTGATATACATGTATAATATATATAATAATACCAATATAAGAAATTAATATATGGTCACAACGTTTTGCAGCAGAATGGACTCAAAAGCTTTATCGTTACCGCATGATCCAACCAAGAAATACTGAAATACTGTCGGTGGAGTGAAAAATACCCCACAAAGATATTCCGTCGTTTAAATGCTTGTCGATATCTGACTTAGGTGGTTCTGTCCAAGCAACGAGCTGGGTACAATTTTTCGGGACAACAATGAGCATAAAGAGCAACGGAGATGGAACAGGAGAGAGGTTGATCAGATCCGGATGTGGACGTTTTGGAACATTTTAACGTTTATGAGTCTTTGTGCTCTATTTAATCACGCAGTAAATTCCCTCAAGGTATGCCTTTGATAAACTCAGATGAATGCGAGTAAACTATGTGTTGGCACTTCTACCAGGTAATTCCCTAGGACGAAAACACACCGTTGAGTAGAATTTTTTGCTACGGTCCGGTTGCACTTATATCCGCCGAGACTGTGCCAAATGGTAACGGGTGATCACAACTCACACACCCTATCGAATTGTTTGTGTTTGTGGTGGGAAAAGTCGGCCGTTTTGTGTTGACCTTCAGCCGCTCCTGAGAAGCAGTTGTCCCGTCCTTGCAAGTTGGGATTTACACACGACGACAAAACACATTTCTTTGGGCTGAACGCTTCGGGTTTGAGTGTTCGGGAAACACGAGAAGAATTCAGAAGTCCTATACCTGACAAAGTGAAAGGTAGATCGATTCAACTGCAAAATCAATGAAAAGAGCGTTTTCTTCCAATCGGATCGATCAAGAGTGGAACTGATAATTTAAAGGAGATTCCACTGACAACGGAGTAGTGGAAAAATAATATGAAATTTCTTGTGTCTACCAGATGGGTTCAGAGAAAACACACATCTTTTTGCTTTCTTAAGGGAACGACTGAAAATAAATATCACCAGAGAATCGCAAAACATCCTTTTTGAGGAAGCCAGGAAGGATCACATGGATCTAATAAAGCGAATAGACAAACGTGTTACGAGTGATGGATGGTGCTTTGAACACTTGCTTTAGCCCCTGATGAACGAAATTTCGTCATCAAGTGACTAAATGACAATCCATGTTTATTTTCTAATAAATGATTCGACGCCATTCAAACTTGTTTCTTTTTCCCTCAAAGATCAATAAACTCACTACCCGTTACCGGCGTGTTCGCGAAATTAGGGAAATCGGTCACTGATAATTCTTTCAATTTTTCTAATAATGTGTTTAAAAATTGACCACGCTAGAAAGAGTGAATTAAAGGGAACGGGTGTGAACACGTTTGAGACCTTGTGTCGAATAAGGTGGATTATTTAGTGTCCATTTATCACATAGACAGAAACGGCAACGTTACATTTTTATCTGAGCCAAACTTAATGTTTGTAGACACAAGAAATTTCCTATTATTTTTCAACTACTCGTTGCCACTGGAATCTTCTTTGAACCATCAGTTCCACTCTTGGTCGACCCGGTTCGAAGAGCCGTGTTTATTTCCTACACGTGCTTTTTCAACAAACTAGGAAGTTGTAGCCGAAATTTAATTCACTCCTAAAGTGAGGAATGCACGTAGTTAGACGCGAACAAGGGTTTTTAAAGTTATATGAATTTGAGGATAAGTATCTTGTGTTGAAGTATTCAGTGATATTTTTCGCTATATATTTTGAAATGTTGATTGGATCTAAAATTCTTAATGGAGTAATTGAAGGAAGATTATTCATCTCTGCGATTTATTAGAAACACCGGCCTTGAAATTTGAAAACGTCAGTTGTAAGTAAGTATGGTTTTAATGATAAATTATTCCGTTATTTTTATAAAATCAAATTGATGGGCGGTACCATTATAGTCTAAGCGAAGGCTTATGCATGCGTGTAAAACGTAAACAAGAAAACAAAGACAGAACGTATTGTTTGCGCCGATGAGAAGTGGAGCAAAAAGAGGTGAACTTTTTTTAAATTCATGCGGTTTACCTCGTTCAAAAAAAACCATTTCACGGAGAAGACTGATCCACGGAATTGGTCTTATGTTTTGCTTGACTGATAAAATACGCTGTGCAAACGAGTAAACTTTGCCTGTCATCTGTATTGCGGTACCAACCAAACATCCCTAATAGATTCGTTTAAGACTATTTCCATTACAACTCTTGAGGGTATGAACTACGAGCTTGTTGCGCGTGTCACCACTCTCCTACCATGTTTAATTGAAGATGAATGAGCTGGCTTGATGAGAGTGAACAGATGTTAAACTATCTTCTCGTTTGTCTCAATCTGGATGTCCTTTAGCACTCAACAGATGCACTGTTTGATTCAATCGTACGCTCCAGTGATCGACCCGAAATCCGAGCGTTGGCCAGGGCAAACAGCTTCAATTGATCCAGTAACTGCTGTACTTCTCTAATTGTGATAACTTCCGGTACATTCGCTTCCAAATCAACCAAATTCAATCTAAGACAAAACATATGCTAGTAGATTTTTCCCAAACGAACATCTGAAAGACCAAATCACACCCGGATCCACTGGCTGTAACATCAAAAAACAGTCCGGAGGCAAATGAGTTGCTTGTCTCCGACAAAGAGAGAAACAAACTTTTAGAAGTCTTAAAGTCACGATGATGCATTCTTTGTACTAGCTGGGATTACCTTATTACGAA